TGATGTTCACATTAGAGCAAAAATGAAGAAAGTCAATTCTTATAAAAATATTTACCAGAAACTCTTTGAATTTCCATGGCACTTTAAAAAGGAGTCATCAATTTTTTTTTGGGCAGTGCTGGGGTTTGAACTCAGGGTTTCACGCTTGCTAGGCAAGCACTCTACCACTTTTTACTGGGTACGTTTTTAATTTGAAGTCTTCTTATAGCTATTCCTTTTTGCTTTTGGTTTCCAATTGCATGGTATATTTGTGATGGGTTTGTTTTTCTAAGATAGGGTCTCACAAATTATTTGCCCAGGCTGGCTTTGAACCGTGATCCTCCTGATCTCTGCATCCTGATTAGCTAGGATTACAGGCCTGAGCCACCATGTCTGGCATCATCAATGGCTCTTATAATGAATCACTGCCTTTAGCCTGAGTTTTTGGTCTTAGCATCCTGCACGATACAGTCAAAGTTCACAAGGTGCTGGTACCTACACCCTGCCTTCCTCTCCCAGGCAAAATTTTCCCCCAGTCTGTATTTTCTGCACCACCACCGTGATTCACAGTAGCAGAGACTGGGTGAAAAAACAGCCACATCCATTCTTCTAATCCTTACAAGGTTCATTTCCCCCCCAGGCATCATCTGTGTGTCTCAGGCTATTTGAATCCCAAGGGACAGAGACGATCTCAGGCTGCTCAGGCAGGTGAGGAACTGTGAGGCCACCTTGTCTGTGAAGGAACTGAGCTAACCCTGGGCTCCTCTGAGTGGTCACCTTCACCAGGCTTGGTCTCTCTCTCAGCCTTTCTTTTCTGTCTTCTTGCTGCTCTTGCCGTTACTCACTGGTTCCCCTCCAGTGTCCTCTGTCCTCTTTGTCCTCATCACATGACTTTCTTATGACTTCAGATTCTCTCTGTCTCCTTTCAGTTTGATTCACACAACCTGATTCTCTTACTTTTGAGTAAAACTCCCAACAGTAGGAAGCCATGGTTCTAGTGCACTCCTCTTTGGCTGGTCCTGGGGGAGGCGACACCGATCGGTCGATCGGACAGGGATGGGGTGGCCTCTGTAACAGGACACATGGCTGCCAGGTCTTTGATGACAGCAGGACTGGTGGATCCTTAGTCTAGCATTCGTGTGAGTCGAATCCTATCTGTGGGTCATTCTTTGTGGCAGAAAGGGAAACTAGCCAGCATAACCAAAAAGGAAACAAGGCTCAGGTATGAATCTTGATTGTCTTATTCTCTGCCCCAAGAGAACTGGTGATGATGTCTGTTTGCTACCCCCGGCCTCTTCACCTCACCAGCTTCACTCCAGGATCTAGAACCCACCCTCCTCCAAGTTCACCTGGCCAGGTGTCTGCAAGGGGCTGTGTGATGGGAGTTTCCTGTCACTTAGATTATCTTTGGACCTCACTGTCTGGGGCTTGGCAACAGGTTTTAATGAGCTCTTGGGGGCTTTTTGTTCATGATCCCTGGGCACTAACCTCCCCAGGACCTCAGGCCTGGCCTGCCTTCCCTTTTCTGCTGCTGGGAAGGTCCCTCCCTATAACAGAGGCACATTTTCTCCACTGAGGTCGCAGTTCTCAGGCTGACCCCTCCCCAGGTTCAGCTGGGCCCAGCTGGACAAGCCCACTATGACAGGGTGTGTGAGGTGACAGACGGGGCAAGTTTATTAGACATGCACTGTGTTTTCTCAGTCTCTATTCCCTGTCCGCCTCCCTCTGGACTGCCCTCACTGCTGGCACCTGCCAAGTCCCTTCTCCCCAGCCAGCTCTTGCTCCTGAGTTGTGTCTGGGATGCACTCTAGTGCCAGGGACTTACCAGTTTTAATCTTAGGTGTGAGAAGTGACCCAGCTTCTCTCTCCAGGATGTGACCAGATTGCCTGTCCCAAGGGCACGTGCTCCCGGGGAGTCCTACTGCCTTTACCTCTCTGTTGTAATCACTGCCTGTTTCCCTGGGGTGGAGGGGAACCCCAGAGGACAGCTGTGCACCCATCCCTTGCTAACACCCTGAACAGATGGTACACAGAGAACATCTAAGAAATAGTCGTCCGATGCTGAATGTTTGGGGTTCAAATTTGACTCCGGCTGGTGGCCTCTTCTTCATTCTACATTGAACGAATGTGGGAATTCCTAGAGGTGTGTTAGTAATAACAACAGACAATATTTCTAGAAGAACTATAGAGACTTAGATGAATTTCTCATTAATACCAGTGCATGGCGTGGTTATAGCTCAGACCCAATTGGCCCTCTGAGTTCTCAGGCTCTGCAGGTGAGGAATGAAAACATTTTTTAAAAAATTCCTTCTGCATTGAACACACACCAACCGAATTTTTTTCTTGTCATGGTTCTCTATGCAATACAGTCTCACCAGTGTCCACTACTGCTTACATTGCATTAGGTATTGTGGGTAAATTAGAGAGACTGTCAAGTGCACAGGAGGAGGTATATAGGCTCTATTTTACACAAGGGACTTGAAAATCTTGATTTGTTTTTGCAGCACTGGGGTTCGAACTCAGGGCCTCCACCTTGAGCCACTCTACCAGCCCTTTTTTGTGATGGATATTTTTGAGATAGTGGCTCACGAACTATTCACCTGGGCTGGCTTTGAACCGCGATCCTCCTGATCTCTGCCTCCTGAGTGTCCTCACAGGCGTGAGCACCGGCACCCAGCAAACATCTTGAATTTTGGTGTCCTTTGTGGACCTGGACCCCCTCCCCCATGGACACTGGGGGCTGGTTGTACTATTTTTGACTCCAGTCTACAGGATGGAGAGGAAAACCAAGTGGAGGTGGAGTTGAAACTGGACTTTCTGGTCCCAAACTTGCCCTGGTGACCTCTTTGCCATCCAGTCCCTGGAGTCCCTCTGCTTCGAAGTGCATTAGGGGCCCACAGGACACTGAAAATGCAGCTCTCAGGGTTTTTAGGAATCTTGAGAATCTCCTTAGCATCAAAACTAAAAACAAACCCCAAACCCACAGCGGCCTGCCGAGGAAGGCATGCATTTAAAAAAGCTGTAATTCTTAGTAATGGATCTCAACTCAATTCCCCCATCCTGTTTTTGTTGTTGGTGCTGGTGGTGGTGTTTTTTATTTTATTTTATTTTATTTTTTACCCAAAACAGGTTTAATGACATTTTTAAACTTGAATTCCATATTCTTGCAATAAACACAGCCATATAAGCAAGAGAAACAGCCAATATGACTTTCTTCTCTCTACTGTACAATAGTGAAAAATGCTTTTCAGATCTGTGGGAACTACATGGTTTAAGCACAACAAATTCTAAGAAAACAGTAAATTATACAGACTTAAAGAATGTATGAGGTTGCCCATGTGGCCCTCTCAGGCCTCCAGAACTGTAAATAAATCTGTTGTTCTTTTAGTAAGAAACTGTTCAACTATTAACCAAGATTGACAATGTTACCATTACTACCCACCTCTCAAACTCCTTTAAACTTCTGCAGAAAAGATAAACTATCTTAAATTTCAAACTATTCAAATCACAATCAGCAACCATTCTTCCAACATGTGATCAACCATGGCACATCAAGATCACAAAAATAAGCTTTTGCCTGCAATTATGCTGCAGTTCTAGCATTAACACTTTCCAGAATATTTAACAGTCTAGAACTTTCTAAATTTTTTTTTCTAAAATCATGGGATCTTGTCTGCCTCATCCCTGTGCACATGAAAGATGCTAAGCACTCTGACTTGATACCCAGTGCTGAGGTTCCAAACATAGATCCTCTGAGCTGGGGAGGCTGGCGTCCCACACAGGATTAAGGAAGTGCTTTAATCTGAAAATGACAGGCAGAATACAAATGAGACTTCAGTCAGCCTGAACCTGGTTCATTAGGATGGAAAGATGAGCAGACAAAGGGAGCTAAATTGCTTTCCTGGAGAAACTAGAGACAAGGCAAAAACCCCCACTAACAGCCCACCACAGGCACTATATATAATTCAATCATATTTGTGTCACCTGCCTTTAAAAAGAGTATGACATACATGTGTCTCTTCTTGGGCCCTAGGCTGCTCAAAGGAATAATCCCTTAAGGGAAAAGGAGAAAGGGCTGCAAACAGAATAACCACACGACCAAGGTCGCCTTTTCCTCAGATGATGCAAAGCATGCAAAATTAGTTCTTGAAAATTCAATCATTGCACTGGTTACTCATGCCTGTAATCCTAGCTACTTGGGAGGCTGAGATTAGGAGAATCAAGGTTCAGGGCCAGGCAGGGCAAAGAGTTCAAGAGACTCCATCTCCAAAATAACCAGAGCAAAATGCACTGGAGGAGTGGCTCAAATGTAGAGCACCTGCTTTGCAAGCTCCAACCCCTGAGTTTAAACTGCAGTCCCACCAAAAAAATTAAAAAAGGTACAATGATCGCAAAAAGCCATCTGAGAAACATAACAATTTAATAGATGAAATAAATACTCCAGTACATGCAAGGTAAAAACTTGACATTGGGGGAAAAAATCACTCTATAGTGTAAATTAAAAAATAAAGCACACGCTCACAGTAGCTTCCCCCCACTTGCAAATCACGTAGCGAAGTCATACTCTTTCCACACCAAGTATATCCCTAGTTCAAACAAACAAACAAATACAAAAAAAGGTAGCTACATCCATGTGTAAGGAGTGAAAACTGAGGTAACTTTTTAATTAAAAAAAAAATGAACCCATGACCTCCTTCCTGCCTGATTACTAATAAAATTTAATTGATGGGCTGGAATGAAGGGTAATGCCACAACCAGTAATTACCCAACTTCCATCTCCCAGTCCCTACTGGGTATGGGCGGGTGGATCCCTGGGCCCTTCAGGTGCTTGTGTTAAATTGTGTGCATGGCCCTGCTTTTTGAAGATTCCTCTTGAGCATTTGACACGAGGGGGAGGGGGTGTCACCCATGATTTCTTTGGTATAAATGCAGAGGGGCAGAGAATAAGTGTCTCCCTTTAGCCTGGGGGTGGGGGTGGGGAAAGAAGGAGTATGGGGTGCGTGTGTGTAGGGGTGGGGGTGCTAACTCACAGAATTAGAATTCACTAGCGGTAAAGTCCTGGGCGAAGACCTCTCCCTTAAAGCCTGAGATAGCAGGGTGCAGCCTTCAGACACAGCGCAGGCCGAGTTCCTCAGCCTCTCCCTGTGGTCCGACATCTTGGCGCCCCCATCAGGGTGCTGAGCCAGATCCCTGAGGCACTGGGTCAGGAGCACGCAGGCCGACACCACACTCATGGCGCCACCCAGGATGGCGGTCTGCACCGCCTTGCCCTCGGCGCTCAAGGCCGCCGCGCGACCCAGGAACTGCGGCTCGGTGGCGAAGCACACAAGCGCGCTCACAGCCTGCACCAGGGGCGGGCTGAAGAGCGCGCAGCGGCTGCGCGCCAACTCACTGGGCGCCACCTTGACCTCACGCACGCAGGCCAGCAGCGCGGACGCACTGGTGCTCACGCACTTGACGCCCAACTTGAACTGCTCGCGCGAAAAGCGATCCCGGGACTTGTCACTGGCCAGGGCGCACGCGTCCGTCAGGAACTTGAGGTTGTGCGACAGGCCCTGTGACACCTCCAGCAGCAGCAGCGGGGTCATGTCGGCCAATGGGGTGGCTCGGAGCACGGCGCAGCCCTGCTCCACCTTGTGGCGGCAGCGTGTCACTAGATAACGGTCCACCAGGCCTGGCTGAGCAGGCTGAGCACCCGGGGTAGCCATGGCCTCCAGGTAGGCCGCGTGCGCCGAGCACTCGGTCAGCGACACCACCAGGTCGCCCAGCTCCACCAGACTGTCCCCCGCCTCTCCGAAGCGACCCACGTTGAGCTGGCTCTGCACGTCGTGGGTGAGGATGGAGAGCCCCGTGGTGCGCCCGATGATGGTGTCCCAGCACTGCTCGAAGGACTCCGCGCCCGCACATGGGGAGGCGGGGCCTTCGAAGAGTACAGGCCGGCCTCGCTGGACAGCAGCAGCAGGTCGGCCACCAGCTGCATCTTGCCCTTGCAGTGGTCGCAGACGGACACCAGCCTTTTCCGTGGCTGCGAGCTGGCCCCACCGACGGCGCTCACGGGAGCCGGAGAAGCCGCCTCGCCAGTGGGCTTCCCAGCGCTGCCGCTAGCCATCGCGCCCGGGGGGCACTGGCATGCCGCTCCGGAGCCCGCTACCACCGCCGCTACCGCCGCCCCCGCGCCTCAGCTAGCCAGGGCCGTCGTGCCTCCCGCGCACCATCATGCCAGACACCGCCGCGGGCAGGGCGCACTGGGCTGCGGCAGGCCCGAGGGCCTGGGAACGCTTGCAGGCTTTTGAGGGCGCGGGGAGGGCCTGCGGCGACCGGCCTCCTGGAGGGCTTGCAGGAACCATGAACTGGGGCGCAACACACTCACAGCCCGCGCTCCTTGCCGCCCTGCTGCCTGGAAAGTCCCTTCGGCTGGGTCGCCTTCCTGAGCATGGCAAGTTATGCAATTAATACTCAAATGCATTTTTCTTTCTCAGAGATTCAAATAAGTGGGAAATACAGAAAATCGAACGTGAGGACCCCCCCCCACTCCAGGCAGCTTGCTTCTCCCTGCTTTATTCCTTGGGGATGACAATTGTGGGGCGTTTGTCATGGATCTTCCTTCAAGTCCTCTTCTGTGTGCTCAATATGCATGTATGGCCGTGGAATAAAGTCCCTTTTCACATACATGATGTACTCTGTGCATTGCTGTTACAGCATTGTCCCCAACTCCAGTCCCACAGAGGACGCCTCAGCTCAGAGATCTTTCCATGACCGCAGTCACAAATGGATCACCCTTTTCTATTTGAGCACTTTGAGCTCTTACCTGAGAGGTGGAAATTTGGTTTGGTGTCAGCAAAATTGCAAATTGAAGCTTACTTTTGTCTATAAAAATGTTATCGCTGTTATTATTTCATTTTAAATGCCCCAAACAACATGATTGCTCATTCAGTGTTGAGGTGTATGGTTCACAGAGTCAGAGCCACTCACACTTTCTAGAATGTGGAAGGTCTCCCATTTTGTTTTGTTAAAGGCAGTGACACCCAGTGTCTCTCTGCCCAGGGACAGCCCCGCCATGGTGCTCACAAGAGTGGCTTGGGTGGGCTTGCTACACTTGTCTTCCCCGTGGCATAATGGCCTTCCAGCATTGGCGAGTCCCTGTGCCCCGTCAGACACTGACTGGAGATGGGCACAAGGGGTTTCCCTGCACAATCCGGGCCTACAAGGTGTGTTTGTGTGGTGTGTGTGTGTGTATGAAATGTGTTCATCACGTGTGGGCTGTGTGTGATGTGTGGTAAGTGTGGTGTGTGAGAGGTGTGGGTGCATGCTATGTCCTGAGCTGTGGTGTGTGTGTAGTGTATTTAAATAGTGTGTGGAGGGTGTGTGTTGTGATGTGTGGTGTGTATGTGTTTGTGTATTTATGACATATGTGATATATCACTGTTGTGTGTGTGTGTGTGTGTGTGTGTGATGTGGAGGGTGTGTGTAGACGCCAGCCTGCTCCTCTGCACTGGCCCACTCACGTGACAGTGGGAAGTCCAAGGGAAGGTGGCTGACCCAGGAGAGAAGCGGTAAGGAGCACTGTCCCCTGACTCACCCCTTCTATCACTTGTAACCATCATTGGAGGGACAGAAGTATTAAGTACCTAGGGTGCGAGTATTTCCCCATCCTTGCGGCATTCTGGGAGGATGGTGAACACCCAGCGAATCTTCTTGTGGGATGGTTTGTGCAGAAACGAGTCTCTCAGAGGTAACTTTAGGGGAAATAGGACTCAATGCATAGCTTGTGAACAACTTTTACTGGTTAGTTTGACTGGAATCCATTGCGTGGACGTGTGTGTTTTTACTGCCTTCAAAGGCCTGTTGGCAGCCTTGTTTTCTGTTATCAGAGGGATTGGTGTAGCCAATCCAATGTTGATTTTCTTTCCCCCTAATTTGGCTTAAAATTACAGTTTTTCTCTTCCACTAGCACCTGGAGTTTTCAGTTTCTGGAACTTTCCACTAGTGTTCAGAGGAAGGCTTTTGTCATCAGGAGTTAGTACATGGAGGCTAGACCTGAATCCATGGCCACAGAACAGTTGTTTAAAGATGGCGCCCATTTTGGACCCCTAGGATACAACCTGGAGGTTGGATCCTTTAGAATACCGGAGTGATCAGTGAGAAACCATGAGAATTAAGCTTCTGAATCATGGTCACATAATTTTTAAACCTTCTTTTCCTCCCTCCCTCCCTTCCTTCTCTCCTCCTTCCTTCCTTCCTTCTCTGGTATACTGTTTCTTTTCCCTGAGAATTTAAGTGTTTACATTTTATATATTTATGTCTTTCCCTTTCTTTAAAAAGCATTTTGTCATATTATATAAATAATTTACTTCATTGCTTAACAAATTGTAGAAAGTGAAAGTCCCCTATCTGTCTCCCAGAGATGACTTCATTATTCTTGGCTCTTTTCCAATCTTACCTGCATTCTGCCTTGGATAGTGAGATTTGACACTAGCCCACCATTTGAGTCACCAGGTCACCAGTTGATTTTACCTAACCTTGCCCCACTGAAGAGAAGGGGGCAGTCATGAATTCACACTCAACGAGTGGCGGAGGTTCCCAGGGCTGGGGATGCCTTCTAAAATGATTACCCAGGGACTAGGCATACTGAAGTTATTTTCAGTAATACACAATTGCATAGGGTTCCCTGTATTATGTGCTTTTTCTTTTTTCTTTTTCCTATTTCCCTTTGAGGTTGGTAACAGAATGGACATAGAGTCAAGAAATCAGATGGAGCTCAAAATACAGTATCAGCCTTAGTCCACACACAGGGCTTTGGGGAGACCTCTTTCCTCTCCTAAGTGTTGACCTTGAGAGGCCAGCTTGATGTGCCTCCTGTATGGAAGACACAGAGCGACATCAGGTGCTGTCATCCCAAAGCCTGGACTCCACACTGGTCATCTGCTGAGGCAGAAGCACCAGCGTTGGCACCCATCTGTAGCTCCTGCTGCCTGGCCAGGGGGCCAAGTGGGTAGCATTTTCTTCCCAGAGCGCCTGCATTTTTTGAGGATAAGGTGAATGTTTGTGTTTTCATGAAGCCATGCACAAGGAATGTGACTCTTAGAAAGAGCCCTATTTGTTAAAATTATAATTGGGTGTTGGGATCTTCATGTCCTGCCTCACTGTGGTCATCCACACTTGGTCTCATGAAAGACCATGGAATGAGGACAGCGTCTGGCTCTGACGACCTGGGCTCAACCCTTCCAGTTGAGAGAATTCTGCTGTCATTTTGCTTATAATTTTCACTAATGACCTGAATTTCTCTTTGGCCACTAAATATTTCAAAGCAACTGATTTTTTTACTTCATCCAAGAAACTGATGAGACCATGGGTCACCCAGACTAACTATATGGAGGGACTGCATGAATCAAATAATACATTAATGCACAAATATGCATAATTTATTTGAGTCACTATTCACGCCTGATTACACCGTGGGCCGTTTCAGATGTTTTAAAGCCAGGCCTGGCTGGCCCCTGAAGACACCCTCTACTGTCATTTCCTCAGGAAATGAGCTCACCTCCCCTTATGGAGGAGCTTTTAAAAATGCCTGTGTTCCCTCCCTGTGATGCCAACTCCAGAGGGCTGGGACCAGCTACAGCTTTTCAGTTGCTCCTTAGAATGGCTGGCAGAGTTCTGGGAAGCAAACCTACCCTCCACACCTTTAAATTTGCAGAGGGAGAATGGTGGAGACAGGGAGAAGGAAGGAATGAAGAAAAGCAGCTGTGTGACTTGGTTGGCGCTTGTGGCCTTTCTGGACCAAGCAAGGGGTCAATGCTTTGGCCAAAGGGAGATGGCATCCTGGCGTGATTATCAAAGTGTGAAGGTCAAGGTTCTCCTGTCAGACTTGTTAGAGTCCTGCTTCTGTACCTTACCAGCTGTGGGGCATTGGGCTACTCACCCAACCTCTCTGTTCCTTAGATTTGATGGCTTAGGAATGGAGGATGACAGCTATCCCTTCCTTCTCCCTGTCTCCGTCATGTATTGAGAAGTGCTGAGATCAGACCCCGTTCACAGAAGAATGAGTGGGAGATGACCAGAGACTCCAAGGCTGCTGTGTGCAGACCCACCTGGGGATGGGGAAGAAGGCTGGTTGTTTTCACAGGTGACTTCTTCAGACGTTGGGTGAAGGCTGTGTTACTCCCCTGTGCCCTTAAGTTCCAATGCAGTCATCTGGCAGCCTGGATCTAGAACCCCAGAGGACACCAAAATCTGTGGCTGCTCCAATCCCATGCTTTCGTGTGTAAGGGATGCATATCTCCTGGGTGCCTTAAATCACGATTTACAAATCTTAATCCAAGGTAAATTGTTGTTATACCCTATTGTTCAGTGAAAATGGCAAGAAAAGAAGTCTGTGGACGTCTAGTATAGACATGATATTTTTCTTCTGAATATTTTCTGTCTGTGGTTGATTGAATCCATGGATGCAGAACCCTGTGAATATGAAGGAATGACTGTATTTTTTTCCCCTCCTTGTTTTTTCAAACTTACTGCAGAGCACCGTGCAAAGCTCTCATCTTTCAAAATGTGATGCCAGGCTCTGGCCTGGGTTTGGCACACAGACAGTCAGAAGTTAGATTTTACACTCTAAAATCTCCACGGCCGTCAGGCCATGGCTCCAGCCCCTTGTCCTAACCTAACACAAGACCTCCCCAACACTCCAGTGGGCTCATCCCGTGTCACAGGCCTCTCTCCCGATTGTCCAACCTGCTTCTAGGTTGCCTCACCCTCTCTCTCCCTCCTCCAGCCTTCCCCCTGCCACCACCAGTGGGGGAATCCTTTTTTCATGAAAGCTCAGGATTTCTCACCATTACTGACATTTTGACTGGGTGTGTAGGGGAGGACAGGGGGGCTGTCCTGTGCATTGTAAGATATTTGGCACCATGCCTGGCCTCTGCCCATGAGAAGCCAGTAGCATTTTAAATCCCAGCTGAGACAACCAGAAATATCTCCAGACGTGGCAAATATCCCCTGGGGACAGGGGCAAATCATTCCTGGTTGGGATCCTCTGTGATAAATGAATGCATACTGCTTTTAACCTTAGCTCAAACATGGAGATTGGGGGACAGGTAGCATGCAGTGAAGGAGAGGCGACATCAGAAAATGATGCCATGGAAAGCCAGGTTGTTGCCCAGTCTCTCACATGTAGGAAGAGGTCAAGGCTCCCATCTCTTCTCTCTTTCCACCTAAGTCCACACTTAGGAAAAAGCATTCTGA